GAGCGGGGTGGGGAGAGGCATTTTCCCTGAGGAGTGGCTTTCAGCTTTACTATGAGTAGGAATCATCTGCAACCTCTTAAAATACAGCATCCTAGGGCCACACACAGAGATTTGGCTACAAGGACTAAGGTGCTTTTTAAGTAGACATCCTTGATTTGTGTGCAGATGATCTGGGACCATCAGTTCAAAAAACTTGCTCTGCACACTTGTTATATGATGATGATGATGATGATGATGATGATGATGATGATGATGATGTTAAAGCCCTGATTTAATTATGTAAGTTTCACCAGGACTCAAAGGGTTTTCCTTCTTTGACTCTTTTGCATCTTCCTCTATTATGTCTTGGGAAGAACATGATGTTTCATGGTCTCTGTTCCTTGAAGGACCCCGGGACTTCTTTGAGGATGAGTCTTATCTGTTGCTGTGTCTACAGATATAGATATATTAAGTTCCTGTATATATAGGTATACATGCAGGAACTTAATAACTTGTGTTGAATGAATGAATGCATGAATAATATCCTCCCCAGGACTCTGGCCTGTGATGATAGTGACAACAAGAGGAGCCATTGGTGGGATGGTTCCTTGTGTGCCAGACTCTGGGCTAAGTGCTTTAGAAGTATTATGCGCTGAATCCCCACATCAAGCCTGTGAGGTTGATATCATTATCTCTAGTTCACAGATAAGAAAACTGAGGTGCAGAGACACTGAGCTGCCTGAAGGCAGTAAGCATGGTAGAGTGGGGACTGGAACCCAGGTCTCTGACTCCCAAGCCCATGCTGAAAGTTGACTAACATCCTGGCCTGGCATCAGTTTCCCCACCACCCAAGCCCAGGGCCTGAGGCAGCGGGGTGAGCCAGCTTTTACTCCTTTCTCAGAAGGCCATGCTTCCAGAGGCTCAGAGTCTGGCCCTGCTCCAGGCGTGCTTCCGGCTGAGGCCACAGGGAGAAACCAGCAGCTACCCCCCTCCCACCTCCATCCCTGGCCAACCTCCACCTTCCAGCGTTGGGGAGAGAGAAAAGTGGTGGAATGGGAGACGACCCCGATAGGACAGCCCGAACTCAAGATGCCATCGCGGGGAGGCAGCTGGCGGGGCTGCTGCCTGGCCAGGGGTTCGCAGCCGCCCGCCTCGCCTCCCTCTCCCTTTCTCTCGTCTCCTTTCACAAACTTCTCACATGTACCCGCCGCCTGCGCAGCTGCTGCGGACTCGCCTGTCGGCCGCTTGCCTCGTATTGTCTGCGCGGCCTTGGACGATCCGAGACGCCCAGTGGGACTCAGGAGCCCGGGACCGAGCATCCGTGAGGGCCCGGCACGCGCCAG